CATCCGCGTCGACTTCAGCTCCGTTCGCAACACCCACGCTGACAAACCACCCACCACTGACGTCCTCCAAGTCCAAGCCGCCAACTGCCGTCGTCCTTAGGGCGGCACCGGTCTCGGTCATGGCGCAGGAGGTGCCGTCATTGCCGTTCCTGTCGTCGTCCTACTGGGCCGTCGAGGACCTCCTGCATCCTATTGGGCCGCACGTGCATAGTCGAGGGCACCGAAGGTCTATCACAAATCAATCAGGTGAACCTTTAATTCGAGTTGGGGGTATTCCGCAATTTGCACGACTAATACTGCACTTTTGGCACTTGGAGGTGGGTCAGAAATTTTTATCTACAATTTCATCTATCAACCAATCTTCCTCTGATGCATTCTAGAAATAAAAAAATTGGGACATGAAGAAATTGCTATTCTAGAGTTTAATTATCTATACTACTATTAAACAATCAAACAAGAACTTCTTTAAGCACACCCCACAAAGCGTACATAGATCCAATACAACCGCACGATTAGGCCCACTAAAATCAATCTAACGGTTAGCCTTAACCTAAACCATTTTCTGTGTGCACTTAGCAATTTACATTGACTGACCGTACTCCACAATGGAGGAAAATATGAAATTCCACGCCTGAGCAATTAGGAAACTAATAATCACGGGTGCATCCTATTCTAGGAAACTAAATCAGAGTGCATCCATCCTATTAGGAAACTAATCTCAGACAAATCCATCCTATTAAAAAACTTATCTCGGACGTATCCATCCTATTATGAAGCTAATCGCGAGCCGCCTGCCGCCATCATGCATGCTAGCCACGATGAGGGAAGCGCGAGGAGCTTCGTCTTCCTCTGGGAACGTTGTCTTCTGCCTGGAGGCCAGGCCCTCTTCTGCCGCTACTGCGACGACTCCATCCACGTCCAGGGCATGCTCTACGACAACCATCGACATCCGCGTCGACTTCAGCTCCGTTCGCAACACCCACGCTGACAAACCACCCACCACTGACGTCCTCCAAGTCCAAGCCGCCAACTGCCGTCGTCCTTAGGGCGGCACCGGTCTCGGTCATGGCGCAGGAGGTGCCGTCATTGCCGTTCCTGTCGTCGTCCTACTGGGCCGTCGAGGACCTCCTGCATCCTATTGGGCCGCACGTGCATAGTCGAGGGCACCGAAGGTCTATCACAAATCAATCAGGTGAACCTTTAATTCGAGTTGGGGGTATTCCGCAATTTGCACGACTAATACTGCACTTTTGGCACTTGGAGGTGGGTCAGAAATTTTTTATCTACAATTTCATCTATCAACCAATCTTCCTCTGATGCATTCTAGAAATAAAAAAATTGGGACATGAAGAAATTGCTATTCTAGAGTTTAATTAATCATTTGATAATTCCTTTGAGAAATAAATGTGATCTGGAGCATGAAAATCATTCTCATATATACTCCCTTCGTTTCAAAATATAAGTTTTTTGAAAGATTTCAATGTGGACTACATATGGTGTAAAATGAGTGAACCTACATTTTAAAATATGTCTATATACATCCGTATATAGTCCGTATTGGAATCTCTAGAAGGACTTATATTTTGAAACAAAGGGAGTAGATATAGGAAGAATGGGACTGATTGTAAGAGTGTGTTTGTTTAGACCTGTATACTTACAGTGCTATTCCTATTTAGACCAAGATTAGAATTTGACTACATGCATAAGTTTGGCTGGTTGAGAAATTTGAATTCACTATCTCTCATAAAGTGAGTGCACGTGCATTACATATTAAATAAGAATCGTGGTGCTTCAAGCAATCTAGAATTATAGATTTGGGATTATCTTAGGTTGCCGATTGCTGTACTGAAAATGTGTAATTAGATATGGCATGCACATAAGAATGCAGCGATCTTGTCTTATAAAGTAGGATCAAGAAGGATACTGAAGAAGTTAAGATGCAGAGTCTCTATTTCCCATGATTACTTCTCATGTTCATGTCGGCTTCATGTCACATATCATCTTTTACATTTCAGTTACTTTTTTTTCCTGCCTATACTAGAAGAGAAGACTACACTACAAGCCTATATTACTGCATTAATAAATAATTGCTGATTTTATTTAAATGAGAATATTATCCTGCGATTACTCTATGCAGCAACATAACCACTATTGTGTCTCACTTTTGAAAATACAATTTGAGCGATATCAAACATTGTATATCCATTTGAATTATATTTTTTAAAACATTTATATTTTATATTATGTGAATCTCACCTGATTTACGTTTGAGACGTGCGTTGCACGTGCATGCTTACTAGTAGACTAATAAAGGAGAAAATAGAAGGTTCATGGACTAATAAAAAGAGAAAAAGAGAAGGCACTAGAAACTCTGGTCAGAGCAGGCACGTAGACATAGATGTGAAATTGGCGGAGGCTAGATCAATCCACGTTAGTGCAGGTGCAGTGCAGCCATTCCTCAGATTCCTGGGCATTTTCATTCGAGAAAAGTATATTTTTCATCCCTCAATTTTTGATGAAATCTAGATTTAGTCTCTCAATTACAAAATCGGGTAATTTGCACCTTCAACATTTAATACCGGACAAATTTTGTCCCTCGACACAACTGAAGTGGTTTCCGAGCTGACCTTGTTTTGACCGGTCATAGTCCAAGTTGCAGTATTACTCTATCGTACTCACATATCTCTTCTTCCCTCGTATTATCCCTCGAATGGGCAGTTCATCAAGCACTTAGAGTGCACCGGCTGCACAAGCGCGGTGGTGGCATGGCAGGATGCCGGCGGCGATGACGCGGAGCTAGCGCTCGAGGGGTTCTGTCATGCGCGTGTTTCTGTCGCTGTGCCGGCTGGTTGTCCCTGTGGTTGCGCCGACGGGAGGGAATCATGCAGCAGCTTGCCGGGAGCATCACGGATTGCCCATAGCCGCATAGGCCTCCTCCACGGCTCGCCATGTGCAGGCGCTCCACCTCGTCGTCGTAGTAAACCGCACCACAGGAAGCAACGCCGGACGGCCGAAGGACCTAAATAGCTAACGCCCAAATCGTCTTCCTCAACTCCGGTGACTGCCGGCCTGCCGCCGCGCCGCAATCTCCTCCTCCTGCAAGCTCCAGTTCTCCCTGTCGGCTTCCTAAGCTCCCCATGCTCCTACCTAAGCCTCACGCGTCCTCCAAGCCCACCCTGCCACGAGCTCACCCCGCCGCGAGCCCGTGCTTCGTCGCTCGCTGCCGTTGACACAGCCGTCGCTCCGGTGCTTATCCGCCACATCTGAGCACGCGTACGTGCTATAGGTGAGCCCCTGGTTGTTTCTCCCCTCTCCTCCAGCCCCCCCGTGCCATCTAGCTCGCTGCCCACATAGAGCTGCCCATCGTCGCCGGCGAAGCTTCGGCCCTCCTGCATGTCCATGCTTGCTTTCCCAGACGCGCGGACACACCAGCTTGCTCCAAGGCATCGCGCGGCCTCTCCTCGCTAGCACCCGCCTTGTCCAAATTCCAGAGCGCCGGTGCAAGCTAATTTGTTGGCGTAGACCAGTCAAAACCAGTCAAAATTCATGCCAAGTAAGAAGTGAAACCGGGTCAGCTGATACAAGGGACGAAATTTATCCGGTATGGAAACTTTAAGGTGCAAGTTGTCCGGTTTCGGAGTTGAGGGACCAAATCTAATCTTTCTTAAGAGTTGAGGGACGAAAAATATACTTTTCTCTTTTCGTTCAGAGCAGGGTTTTGCAATTCAGACTGTGAATGAAGCAGAGGAGATGACAAACCGTACCTCACCGCGGCATCAGAGGTGCGGTGGGGGTAGCCCCAGGCCGCCGCCCGGGAGCGCTCCCTGGCGCGCGCCTTTGCGGCCTTCCGGGCCCGCCGGAGCGAGACCTCAGAGTCAAAGATGTATCCCAGGCTCAATGCTGCCACGATGCCCACGATCAGCACGAGCGCCCATATGCTTGGCTTCGCCGCCGGGCACTGGCAGTTGTCCGGGTGGCCGGCGGCGGCAACGCTGATGTGGCTGCCTGAGTCTGCGGGGAGGAATTGATGTGAGCCAAGAAATTGAGAGGATTTGATCAGTGGCGGAGGGGTGGAGGAATCTAAGTCTCCATAAAAAAATCTTCAGAAAGTGGTCAAAGGCTGGGGGGCAGTGCCCCCCTGCCCCAACATAGCTCCGCCACTGGAAATTATGTTAATGAACGGAAAGAGAATGCGCTTTACCTTGTGCAAGTGGAGCCGCCGGGAAAAGGAGGAGGAGGAGCTGCACGGCCACTCTGCGCCTGGTTGGTAACAGTGAAGCACGAAAAGGGGAGAAAGCACGGATATCCAAGAAAGGACAAGTTTAAGTTCTATATATTAGAAGGCCAATTTCACATATTTGACTTGAGGCCTAAATCAATTCACAAACTGACCTGCTTTCAAAAAAAAATTCACTCTGCTGACCCTTTCGTGTGGCGCCCGACAGCTGGGCGCCGCACCCTACTGTGCAGCGCCCATCACTTAGGCGTTGCACATCCTGCCAGCGTGGCAGCCCTGGTCCAGTTGCGGCCCCACAGACAGCACTGCAGCGCCTAAGACTTAGGCGCCGCACTGTGTATATTGCAGCGCCCGTGTCTTAGACGTTGCACGTTAACTTAGCCCGCATCGGGCCAGACCCTCCCAGGCAGTTCTTCCAGTTGCTCTGTTGTCACAGAGAGCGGCGGCGGTGGCGCCCCCTTCGGATCCCCCCCACACCCCCTCTCAGATTTGAAGTTTTGAGGCCTGGATTCGATCTCCAATCCTTCCTGGTACGTAAACTCCTCTGTTCCCTTTCTTTTCCTCCGTAAAATCATTCGGTGTTCCAGATTAAGTTTTTTGATGTAATATTGCAATTGGAGATGATAAGTCATCCATCTCAGGAGCCATTTCCTGGTCTGACCTTCAAATGTGGAATCTTTTTCTCATCAATGGCAAGTACTTTGAAAACAACTATCAAAATTTTATTTAGTTTTACAAGTATGCAGAGAGCCGACAAGGCAGCAATCCTATTGTTCAAATGTGGTCAAGGCAGGCTTTCGGTGTTTCAGAATGAGCACACATTCATTGCAACCAAAAGAATTGGTAGTCATATCCGGTAGTATATGATTCTTGTTGTGATGGAGGATGTGTAGTCATATCCGGTGTTCATATCCGGTGTTCATTCGTTAGGTGGAAACTCTTTCGGTGTTGTGATGGAGGATGTGTAGTCATATCCGGTAGTATATGATTCTTGTTAGTTAAACCTAGATTGTTTATTTTTTTAGATATATATGAGATGCCTAGTTTTGTAGATAATTATGAGATGTTGAGTTTTGTAGCTATGTGTGAGATGTTGAGTTTTTTTAGATATATATTAGATGTTGAGTGGTTTTCGATATTTGAGATGAACTCATGTATGTTTATTGTTTGAAATTGTAAGGATGGTTTGGCTTCTGGACGATGTCTACGACGTGCAACACCGGTCCTACATGATGCGCGAGAAGGATAAGGTAATAATGAGTACTCTAAATCTTTTGCAAATTTGCCTTTAGTTGAAATTTACATGCCCTAAGATTTGTCATTACTTGTTTTTTGCAGAAGCTTGAACCTCTGAAGATTCAGTATCACGGGGTCTCTGGTCCTGCCATGCCTTACGATGAGCGGTACACACCATACATCAAGCAGGCAGGACTACTCCCGTGGATTCTGTTGGTCAGTCGGTCCACGCCGAATCTGAACGCTCCACTGGTGTCCGCTCTTGTTGATCGGTGGAGGCCAGAGACCCACAGTTTCCATCTTCGGACCGGGGAGATGACCGTGATGCTCGAGGATGTCTCGTTGATCACCGGTCTTGCTATCGACGGGAGGCCTCTATGTATGAGCACCGATTCTGATGGGTGGCGCGAGCAGATGATTGCTCTTATCGGTATGGCTCCTACCGAGGCTGAGGATGATGTAGAGGAGGGAGAAGA